TAGTTGTTGTTGTTAATTTACGTCACACTAGAGCTGCACAATGGGCTATTGTCGACGGTCTGGGAAACATCCCGGAGGATGATCCGAAGACATGCCATCACAATTTTGATCCTCTGCGGAGGGGATGGCACCCCCGCTTCAATGGCCCGACGACCTGCGCGCGAAGTCGAGCACTTTACGGTAGCACAGTTTAACGAGGACCAATATCGCACACCCTCGGTCCCTACGCAGGCTGATCCAAGTGGTCACCCACCCGCACACTGACCGCAGCCAGTAATGCTTGACTTCGGTGATCTGCTGGGAACCGTGTCTTAACGATCAGTCCACTGCTGGACTATAAATATATATATATATATATATATATACGGGGAGAGATTTAACTAGATCAAGGATCAAATGTGAAAAAGCCAAAGTCAAAGGGAAGAGCGGATAAAGAAACAATTGGCATCTATGTTCTCAATCTTATGTAGTTCCATTTGTTAAAGCAACAGTTAAATTTATTTTCACTATTATGTAAAGGATTGTTAATACTTCCACAGTTGGTCGGAAAAATTCAGAAAGGTATGTCATTTTCTTTTATATTTTTTCAAAATCAGAATAACAACAAATATCATTCTAAATAGTAATTTGATTATCGCACTAAAGGTAAGGTAAATTTCCGTTACTAATTTTAAATTTCTGCAGTAGGACGCACATTAAATATTACTCCTGTTTAACTTAGGGTCTGTAGATTTGAAGGCATGATGAAGTGATACATGGAAGATGAATTCATCAATATTTTTTGACAGTCATGACATTAATGGTAATATTGTATGGCTTCTAAATATATATATTTACTACAATACCTTAAATAGAATTTCTTATTAAATTAAATGTGATAATATACACATTTTTTCTTCTTAGTACATATTTAAAATTACTTTTTGCACTTTCCTTAAATTTCTGGAGACATATAAAAATTTATCAAGCATTTATCAAATGAATCTCTCTCTCTTCAAATTTGAAAATTTGAAATAAAAATATTTGTCTCTATGCTGATCTATGAAGAAAAATGTAAGCTCGTACAAAGGTATAAGAAAAGGGAATACTCATTCCCCTTTTGCTTCAATTAAACAGAACTTTGAAGTCTTTAAAAATTCCAACATTAAAATTAAGAGCTACGGTGCCCCGGAGGATAAAGCGTTAGCCTCCTAATTGGGTGAACCAGGTTCAAATTGCAGCAATGGCTGATTGACACGAATTCGGATTCCGGCTCACATCGATCACAGAGCAGACGTAAAATATCCTCAGTTATATCCTTTCGGGCTAACCGTGGGAGATTTTCTTGGCTTACGTAAATAACGTAAGTAAATTACGTCAAGTAACGTAAATTCAGGTCAGTTCTATCAAAAAGTTCTCCAAGGAGGCTGGTTAATCCTATTCCTCGATCAAGGATTTCTGGGCTGGGTTCAAAATTACAAGGGTATGAAACAGATCTTTGGTAGTTGTAAACTATCAATGATTAAAAATTGGGTCGTTTGTTCTTCACCGGTTGTAAAATAAAATAAAGTAAAATATGTAAATAAGTTTTAATTAGATATCAATTTAACAATTACGGATCGATTCACCCAAAGTTCTTAATCAACTGATTTAAGAAAACCAATGTGCAGTAATGATAACAAATGTATTAAAATATCAATCAATACCTTTAGAGTACCTGTGTGATAACAATAAAGATTGCTATGAGAAACATTTTCTAGTTGCAATTATTAATTCTTAAAAAATAATTTGCTTGATTTCTGAAAAATGATTTACTTAAGACATTTTTCGATTGCTGCTCCCAATCTTAAAGTTTCGGAATTATTTAATTGCCTTTCTTGCACTTGTTTATTGAAACAATTCAAGTATTGGTTCAAATTATAATAGTAGTTTTAATGATATAATAATATTAAAAAAAATTTCGAGCTTTAATGTAATAGTATATATTTAGGAAGTAAGTATTTGACATAAATACATATTGTGTACAACATTTATTTGAAATAACAGAAATATGTTTGTATGTTTAAAATATTTTATCACCAAAAAAATTTTATCAAAATATAAATGTTCGAAAAAAGCTGGATTATTTCACACAGCTAAAATTTGTTGCAATATTTTCAACACACTTTAACTACAAACATAATGGTAAAATTGGAAAACTATATAGAATTAAGCAAGGTAGGCAAGTAAGTAAATACAATAAGCAAGCAAGTGAAAAATAAGCAAAGCATGTTTTGTCACAAAGAACAAATTATCACCGAATATAATAGGTTATTAATAATAGGTAATAATAGGTAATTTATAACTGAGCTGATAGGAGAAACATAATGTCACTATATATAAATTGTTCCGGAAAGCATTTTAAACATGTTTATGGTGAAACAGTCTTTATGTAGGAGATACGATGTCTTTTGTTTTGAATTGATATGTAGTAAAATTTCAGCTACATGATAACTTGTAGATTACCTATCTACATAGATTACCTAATTGTAGATTATCTTTAGTTAAGTAACTCTTTAAATTACCTATCTGGATGAAATATTAAGTAATAGTTTGGTGTAAAATCCCAATCTTTAAGAAAATGTGTCTTATCACTATATTGCTTCAAGTCTTTTAACTTAAATAAATGCCGAATATTAAAAATATATATACATTTTTGCGGCTTATCAAAAGTTATTAAATTTATGGAGCAACATGTTGAGGGGCCTTATTTATTTCCATAATGATAAGCCTTCTTATTTAATTATCATATTTCAGCAGAGTAGATTAGAGTTGTTTTAGTTAAGTGCAATACATAGCGTATTCAAATAATGTAATGCTCTTCAAATCAATCTTTCAATGTACAAAGAAATTCTAGACTACAACTATGCTCTGCTGGAGTCCCTATTTCAGATTGGTATCTTTCTACACACAGAAACTTTTGTGATGAAATAAAATTCTAAAGAAACCTAAAGAAACTTTTACGAATTCTAAAGAAAAGTCTTTTCACGTTCGATGCGTCACTGAAATCGGGGAAAATTCTGTTGTGGTGATGGATCGTTTGAAACACCAACCGCCTGGTGCATTTCACTAACATGAATAAAATAGTAGAATGGACATTTAGAACTTGAGAGAGAAATCGTGTATTGTATCATTTACTTATACGCTTTGTATCTGATTTATAGAGACGCTAAAGAAATAAGATTTTTTAGAATATGCTATTTGTAATATAAGTAAGAATTCATGCAATGGAATTTATATAATTTAAAATAGTGTTTGTAACTTAAATTAAATAGCAAAATTGACATTTTGAGCTTAATAGAAAAATCATGTATTCTATCATTTACTTTCATGCTTTGTATCTGATTTATAGAGACGCTAAAGAAATAAGATTTTTAGAATATGCTATTTGTAATATAAGTAAGAATTCATGCCATGGAATTTATATAATTTAAAAAAATTTTGCAATTTAAATTAAATAACAAAGTGGACATTTAGAACTTAAGAGAAAAACCATGTATTCTATCATTTACTTTAATGCTTTGTATCTCATTTATAGAAACGCCAAAGAAGTAAGATTTTTTATAATATGTTACTTGTAATATAAGTAAGAATTCATGCAATGGAATTTATGTAATTTAAAATAGTGTTTGTAACTTAAATTAAATAGCAAAACATTTAGAGCATAATAGAAAAACCATGTATTCTATCATATACTTTAATACTTTGTATCATCGCATCCCCACTGCCTAAACAGGCATACGACAAAAAAAAATGCTTTGCATCTGATTTATAGAGACGCTTAAAGAAATAATATTTTTTAGAATATGCTATTTGTAATATAGGTAAGAATTCATGCCATGAAATTTATATAATTTAAAAAAGTGTTTGTAATTTAAATTAAATAGCAAAATGGACATTTAGAACTTAAGAGAAAAACCATGTATTCTATCATTTACTTTAATGCTTTGTATCTGATTTACAGAGACGCCAAAAACGTAAAATTTTCTAGAATATGTTATTTGTAATATAAGTAAGAATTCATGAAATGGAATTTATGTAATTTAAAATAGTGTTTGTAACTTAAATTAAGTAGCAAAATGGACATTTCGAGCTTAATCGAAAAATCATGTATTCTATCATTTACTTTTATGCCTTGTATCTGATTTATAGAGAAAGAAATAAGATTTTTTTGAATATGCTATTTGTAATATAAGTAATAATTCATGCAATGGAATTTATGCAATTTAAAATAATGTTTGTAACTTAAATTAAGTAGCAAAATGGACAAAATGGGAAAAAATTTCGCGCCATTTAATCAGAAATTTTTGCTTTAGATATTATTAATCATTACAGCAATTATTCCATGGTAAATGTCTGCGATATGTTCACCAACTTCTGGTACTAAAAATCGTACTACTACACATACTTCTGTTCTGTACGCATCCATTCTTAAAAAAACATACATTCATTTTAAATGTTCTTATGATAACTGATGCTCTTTTCTGAATTAATTTATAATCATGGAAAGTGGCGCCTTTATTGCTATTAAGCATGTCTCTATTAGGACTCCCTTGGATAGGAAAAGTAGGTGCTTCTCAACGAAGTTGAAAAATAGAACGAAAAAACACTCTAAAATCAGGATAGCCCAATATTCCTGACCTCAGGCAAAGGAAGAAATATTTAATGTAATAAAGAAATAAAGGTATGTTAATGCGAACAAAATAAGTACATAACTCTCTTATGTCATGCTTGATATGACATATTCCATTATCCTTGTAAAATGGTATTAAAATTCAGACTCTTAACATCTTTTAAATCTAGAAAAAGCCAGCAAAACGCTCAAAAAGGAATTCTAAAATACAACTAGTTTTCCTTAGTTATAATTTAAAATTTTCTAAAAGGTTTTCAGAATATCAAAGAGGTTTATGAGAATTCTAATGACTTGCACCTCATTAAAGAAGGAGAATTAAGTTTCTTTTATGAAGAAAAATTTTAAAACTTCTTAATTTCTGACGAAGTGATTAAATCTGGTTCCATTCTCTCGATGGGATACCATATATAGACTTCTCTATGCAAAAAAAAAGAAAAGAAAGGAAAGTTATACTTTTTCTCATTTATGAAATTTGTGACTCAAACGAAAACACTTTTCTATTATACTAACGAATTTTTGAAAATATTACAAATAGTATAGTAGTATTTTCTTTGCTGTATGAAATTCGGATGTTTTACATCAATTCCAGTTATGATAGTCAAAATCTATTTTTTTTCTCATTATTCAAATATCCTTTTTTATTGTTCATAAAATTATGTCATACATGATAAATCATTTCAACGTATAATCTTTATTAAATTTGAAGTAATTGACGCCTTTCTATTCCTTGCAACTTTTTTCCTCATTTGTTAAAACTGAGTGTATAAACATGTGTTTAAATATATATAATGCAAGAAGAAAATTAAACTAAATTAATAAGTACCTTTAATCAAATCCTACATAAAAGTTAAGCATTTTAACATGTGTTTCTGTATATTCTGAGTACACATAAAAATTTTAAAAAGCATATAACACTTACTCATTATAATTACAATAAAGAACAGTTAAAATGAATCCCATTTATTTCATGTAATATTTATCATGATTAAGATAACGTCATACTTAAATCTAAATAACCAGTCATTGAAGTTAAAAATTTTGCTCTAAAATAAAACAATGCGACTGCCATCGGCCACCGAATTATTTAGTTTTAAATTAGTGTTATAATTTTATTATTCAAATTGTTTTTGTTATGTTGGTTTTATTTAACA